ATTTCTATATTGGCACATTCAGATTTCTCTGATTTTTCTTTTCTATACTCTTCAGATAAACTTTTTCTTCCATTAAAGTTATTTGTGTTCCTTGTAATTGATAGAGTAATATTTTTAATTTGGACTTTAATAGCATTTGAGGAAACACAATTAAGAAATGTTTCCTTATCATTTTATTTTATGTAATTGGGAATTAATTTTCTCTGTGCATAGAATATGGGGCAAATATCCTAGGCAAAAAAATAAATAACTTCATAGTGAAAATTTGTCCATGTCTATCTATTTATCTCATCTATATGGTGTGTGTGTGTGTATAGTGTACACAAGATATATCAGCGGTTCTCAACCTGTGAGTCACGACCCCTTTTTAACAATGAAAATACATTGCAGCATTAGGAAGGTTGAGAACCACTGATACATATGAAATAAAAATTGCACTTTGAAAAATTGAACTTTCTGACCACCCTGTATATATGTCAACAATTGCTGACTTTCCAGATTTGCTAGCTTAATTATGCTACTTTATCATTCTCTTCCTTATCTATCTTTCTTGTAACCACCACAATATTTCCTCTTTACAACATTTGAAACCTTTCATGTTGTAAAAGACCTTCCTCTTTTCTCAAAATTACAGTTTTTGGTATACCCACATAAAAAATGGCTACACTTTTTAAGCCTCTTAACTTTTGCTCTGCAAGAGTCACATTCTTCATCCCATATTGGCCCAATTCCAATTCATTTACCTGTTAGTCTTGTACTGGTGAATATTGCCATCTTGCTATTGTTTTGATATTTATAAAGACTATGCTGCATAGAATTTTAATTTGCCTCACAAGACAAATACGTAGTTTTTAATGTGGTTTTTAGTATAATATGTATTTCCAATAGCATGTATGGCATTAAACATCAGTAACTCTGAATAGAATTCCCACTGAGATCATCAGGAAAGCAATTAGTGACAATTGCTTTCTCTTGTGGAAAAACCAAATGTTACCCTAAGTTTGTTATTAAATTATAATAATGTAATACAGATATCACATTGTGAATAGGCTATAACTGGGAGTCAGCTATTAATACTTCATTAGCATGTATTATTTTCATATTAGACTGTACTTATTTGTATTTATATTATCTATAACCTTTCTATAAAATAATGTAATGCTAAGGAACTTATATTTTATGTATCAAAAAGTAATAAAATATTGTATAGATATAAATGTGACTGTAACAGATTGTGACTGTGATTGTCAAAGTTTGGTTTCCCTTATATGGATTTCCATAATTAGGTGTGTGCTCTTAGATTCTTCACTTCTCTGGCTTGACATTTTTTGTTTAGTTTTCATTATTTTCTCTTGAACCGATCATCTTTTCACGTTAGATGAACTGCTGAATTATGTTTAATTGATTGTTTAACTCTGAATCAATTTGATATGCAAGTTTTGAGTTTTGAGAACACTGTGTAAGCTTTCAGGTAATTAGTTATGATGGAGACCTAAATTCAGATCATTAGAAGAGAAAATAAAAATATTCTTCCAGATCCTAATGACCGTGGTGAGAGAGAACATGAATGCTGTGGCTGCATGTAATAGGAAAACTCACCCAGAATTGAAAGATGTGGAAAGGCTGCTTTTAGGAAGTGCACAGCTTAGCTGTGGAAGCAGCTTGTTGTAAATACTAAGCACACAATAAATGGACAACAACAAAAAAATAGACATTATGTCCACGGGATATTTAGCACACCTACGTACAAATATGTAGCACTTTTTATTGTGTACATACTCTTTTGTAGGGCCTTAAGTTGTTTTGAGTTGTTATTGTTAAAATAATAATGCATTCACAGTCCTTATAGGATATTTTATAATATTAATAATTATTTTCTCTGGAAAGATGCCTAAAACTGGATTGGACTGCAGAATCAAGATTGATTATAAACCTTTTTAAGTCTGTTTATCTTCTTGAGAAATCATTCCAGTTATATTCTATTCAGAAATGTATGTTAAGATTCACAAGACCAAAATGTTGCTAGCATTGATAGTATTATTTTATTTCAGTATTTGAATGGAAATGTAATGGATATTTGTTAAACTAGTCTTAGATTCAAGTCCCAGTCCTAAAATTTAGTGCAAGAAAGAGCTTAACATCTCTTACCCCAGATCCCTCATCCATAAAATATGGATTATAACTTCCTTATGAGGCCAATAAAAGTATTGAACAGAATAAGATGTCTACATTTATTGTCATCTGGAAATAAGTCCGTAAACATTTCACAATTTGGCATTCAAATATAACAGTAAAAATTGGACAGAGATTTTTTTAAATGTTAGCTTTCACATTTGTTTTATAGATTTTAATTTCATATTAAATATCTGATATATTTGAATCAGATAGACCCTAATTGAAAATTATGTTTTTATGTAAAAATTTTAAAAAATCGTCTCAGTTATTTATACGATCAGGAAATTACGACTGAAAGAGGGTACAGTATTTGGCATTTTTGTCTAGGTCAAAACAAAAATGGTTTGGGAGTAAGAACACAGTGAAAACGTGTATCTTCACAATTAGGTTCACATTGTCTGTTCCTCTCAGCTATTTTAGAGAGGTTGGTGTAGAGATCTGAAACTGGGCATGGAAGCATAGGAACAGGGACTGATTAATATTCAAATTAATTATTTTTGATTAATGAAAATTAGAAATACAGACACTTCAGAAAAATAAAAATTGGTGTTTAGTTGTGACATGGTCATTTTCACTTAGATTTGCTGCCTGCTTCTTCAAAATAGTTCATAGTAGAAGCCAGGCATGGTGGTTCATACCTATAATCTCAGCACTTTGGGAGGCAGAGGCGGGAGGATGTATTAAGACCAGGAGTTCAAGACCTGCCTGAGTAACATAGCAAGAATCTTTAGAAAACTTCTAGAAAAACTAACCAGGGATGTTGGCACTTGCCAATACTACCAGCTACTTGGCAGAAGGATTCCTTGAGCCCAGCAGGTGTAGGCTGCAGTGACCTATGATTGTTCCACTGAACTTGGTCCTGGGTGGCAGACCCCTAAGGCCCTGGTCTCAGTCGCCGCAGGAAGGAACCAGGCGTGACATGGATTAGAAGTGCAGGGTAGCCCTGAGCCCCCTCCACGAGGGCTATTTATTAAGGTTATACACAACAGGTGTGGAGACGTAAGGTAATGACATACACAACAGGTGTGGCGAGTTAAGGTAATTACATACGAGGGCTGCATGCTAAGGATTGCCACGTGCTCTTTCCTCACGTGTTCTTTCCCCACAACCCCCATGAAGAAGTACTAAGCATCAGTGTTTAACACATGCTTAATAGTGAGTGACTGATCTTATCTCATTCCGGAACACTGAGTTACTAGGGGGACTGCCCCCAAGTCACCAAACATCTCTAGGCTTGCCAGAAGACTGTCCTGTTCTCAGCATTTCCTTTTAATGTGATAAGAATCAGTAACTGTCCTTTGCAAGCATGGTGTCCATTCCTCTACCCAGACCCTGTTTCTCTCTATATATTTGTTTTTAAGAAATTATTATGCCTAAAGAAGTTATTATGCCTAAAATAGATTTGAAAATGACCTAAGAACCATTCATTTTATTATATTTTATACTAAACTCTTACTTTATAATTAAGTTTGGTCCAGAAATAGTTCCTAAAAATATAGACAGCCACTAATTTAATCAATGGAAAAGTTTTTCAGATTATTAACAGCAAGTTAAACTCTTGACTTTTGTTTGTATTTTAATAATTGGCTAAATTTGAATGTTTCCATATTAATAATATTACAATTGTGTTAAAAATATTCAAATGACATGTATTTTCGTGAGTTCTGATACCACATGTCAGATATGTGTACGGGCCGTCCCTGGATTATGGACAACCCAACTTAATGGTGTTCTGCACTTATGAACAGGTTTCCAAGTCTCAACATAAGATAATTTATAACCAAATAATCAAATTAATAATTCAGCAACTTCTTTCTTCTGTCCACTTAAGCAAACCCACATGGCATAAGCCATTCATTGGCACAGCATGTTCTTTTATGCTCACGCTGGTCTCATTGTCTAACTTTGTCATTCGAATCTGTGAGTCTGTGTTTATTCTTATGACCATGCTTCCATGGTGAAAGTCTACTTCTAGTTCAGGTGAACCTTCAGTGAAGAAAAAGGTGATTGGAATTGAAATGAACGTAAAGATAACCAACTTCAGACAAAGACCAGACTCCATCATGCTGAGAGAAAGCATTAGGCTTCAGTTCCCTCACTGTCGGAACAGTTATAAAAGACAAAGTGAGAATTATAGCACAAGGGAAAGACAGTACTCTACTGAAAGCATCAATTATTTCTAGGCAGAGTAGTGGATTAATTATTGAAGTTGATCTGCTTAGAAGTTCAAAATAAGTGTAACATTCCTGACAGCCTAACACTGATGCAATATTAGATGACTGTTAACCTTGAATGTCCTTTTTCAAATTCCTCTTATTTCCTATCTGAACTTTTAAATTTTTTTCTTTTTTCATTATTATGGACATATAGTAGTTGTTTATCTTTATGGAATACATACAGTGTTTTAATACATATATAAGATGTGAATTCTTTTGTATGAATTTATTTTTGTGTTCTGTTGACGTTAAAAGAAAGAACATAGTAGTTTTTATAACTTATTATTACAAAGCAGGTGTATTATTAAGATGACATTATTACACTGTATTGTTATTACCACCTACAAGCCATTATAGGATTATTGTTATTGTTATTATTATTATTGCCATATATGTGTTTTTCATCAAGGATCTGTGTTAGATACAAATTACACATAAATACATTGTTGGGAATGTATCTTATCCATAACTCAGGAACCACCTGCACACGTAATTTGAATTGTATGGCTTATTTTTATTGTCAAGTAAAAATTACTAATATTTACACTAATTAAAATTAACTGATTAACTTGAAAAGTTCTATAAATGTCTTATTATATTGTTTTGTAGATGCTCCCAAGTTTATATCAAACCAAACAATTTATTACTCCTGGGAAGGAAATCCTATCAACATAAGTTGTGATGTGAAATCAAATCCACCAGCATCAATCCACTGGAGAAGAGAGAAATTAGTCTTACCTGCTAAAAACACCACCAATTTAAAGACATATAGTATAGGAAAAAAGATGATATTAGAGGTAAGTTTCCATGTATACTTTAAAAATTTTTATTATTTTGGCAATTATCCACTGTTTTATATATATTTAAATATCTTCCTATGTAAATATATATTGAAATTGTAGTGTATCTACTTAATGTTTATTTATCTGAAGGTCAATTGTATTGTGACCCACTCACTACTAATGTCTTAGTATTAACTTGTGTAGAAATATAGGTGTATAGCAAAAATTATTTTTCTTAAATTTGCTGTTAGAAAAAAAATATATCAGAGGAAATATAGGGAGAAGGACTTGATCATTTGGCAGTTTTTGAAGGATGATAGTTCAGCTTCAGTGTTGATGCCTCCCTGAGTGAGTGGATTGTAACTGTTATCCTCAGATGGTCAAATATAAATGCTACCTGCTGACTACCTGTTTACGATTCTTGTGTAAGTTCCTAAATAAACCAAATTTACTTGCTCAGTGCTTCATTTTACCTTATTTTTAAAATTGTTAAGATTGTTTGTAATTATTATTTTCTGTGTTTACTGCCAAGTGACTGGACTGTGAATACTGTTTGAATAAAATGCTTTTATTTATCGATTGCAGATTGTGTTTGTGTCTATCAATTTCAAAAGTCTGTATGATATCATGAAAGTAATCATCAGCCCTTCTGACTTAGGATGCTGCTAGAGTAGCTGGAACTCCGCACAGACGTGTTTAGCTTAAAGCTCCTGTATTTTTATTTACTAATTAAGTTTGCATAGACTAAAAGGAACTCATGTTTTAGAATACTGATACTTCCACTGCATTAACTGGGGTGTCCTCTTTCATGCCAATTAGTCTCAGAAAAAAGTTTGTTTGGTATAAGGATTTAGCCATCACATCATCAAATGTCTGGATTACTATTGAGTAATGAAGCTACTTTATCTAAACCTGCTACAATTTAAATAATTTTTCTTGAAGTCACATTAGAACTAACTACTGGTTATTGACAGGGATGTCAATTGCACAAAACAAACACACAGCAAACAAAACACATTCAGGCAGCTTTAAACTTATCTTAGTTTACAAACTTAGTTTAAATTAAATTTCAGTTTGGCATAGTCTATCATCTTCCTTGGCTACCACAATTTAATATCACAGACTAGATTGCTTAAATCATAGAAATATATTTTCTCAGTTATGGAGGCTGGAAATCCAAGATCAAGTTGCCCATGGGTTGGTTTCTGGAGAGGATTCTCCATAACTTATAGGCTGTCTTCCTACTGTATTCTCACAAGATCTTTCTTTTGTGTAGAGAGAGAAAGAGAGAATATATTCTGGTGTCTGTTCCTTTTCTTATAAGGACACCAGGCCTCTTGGATTAAGCTTCAGCCTTACAACCTCATTGAAGTTTAATTTCTTCCTTAAAGATTCTATCTCCAAACACATTCACACGGGGAGTTATGATTTCAGTTATCATTTTGGTGGGGACAGGGTCTGGACATAGTTCAGTTGATGCTTACATGATGAACTACCACCTGCTTTCCTTCATCTTAATATTTTTTAGTTTTAGAGATAAGTCATAATTCTCCAGAGTTAATGTCAAGGAACAGTTTATAGATAGAACATTTACACACTTTAATTATACAAATATTTTATGCTATTTAAACATCTGCCTGGCAAATGGCATTTCTTTGCACTCAAAGTGAAAAATAAACAATTTTTGTTTACTTTGCACATAGGTAAGAGATCTTTTGACTTCAAATGTATATGTTTTGTGGCTTTACTGTTTTTCACAAATTAAATTTAAATCCTGAATAAAAAACATGGGTATATAACAAATATAACTTGATAAAAACACATAACAAAACAACAATGACAAAAAAGCAACAATAAGCATTACTAATATTTTATTATTTAAATACATAATTTCTTGGGATAATAATTTTATTTTTATTTAATCATTATAATAGTCACCTATGTGCTAATACTTAAGACATGATAATAAATGTAACAAGTCAGATTTACATGTAACAAATTTGTCAATAATAGATTTATTCAATTGATTTTTAACATATACTTTTCTAGTTCAATTTATTTATATATATACTTTTTTCCCCAAACGTTCAAATTCTTGAATTTTAATATATAACCAAATATTCAATAAGCCCTTTGGATTATTGCCAATGAATTTATATGTAAAGTTCATAAAAACATTTTTTAACCTAACACACCCTAAGATTATAACACAACTTACTAATATGGCAAAAATTGACAGCAGGAAGTTGCTCATTGATTTGTGAAATAACACTGTGTTTAGGATCAACTATGTCATTGTTTTTGTTTTCAATTGCTTCTTTCCCTTCCCTTCCCTGGTTGTTATATCTATTATTTTCTTAATATGGGATACTTAGAAAGAAGTAATCTATTTTTTGAAGTAAAAAAATAAACACTAGAAGGTCTCCTTATTAACATTGCACTCTCAGCTTAAATAATTATTTTGATGTTAATAACTAAATTTGTTGATCTATTATATCTGTCAAAGCGTAATATCATAAAATAAATTACTTTCATTGGATTGTATTTTGTCAAAGCCTAAAATTATAAAATAAATTAAATTATTTTTATTGGATAGAGGCATACCTTGGGCACATTGCAAGTTCTATTCCAGACTACTTCAATAAAATGAGTAACATAACAAAGCATGCCCCATGTTTTTTTTTTTGTTTTTTATCCCTATAGAAGTTCCATTTTCATTATATTGTAGCTTATAAAGAATACAGTAGTCTTACATCTAAAATTCATCATCGTGTATACCTTAAGTATAAACTACTGTATTCATGGTGGATCACATCTATAATTTCAGCAGTTTGGGGTGTTGAGGCCAGAGAATTGCTTGAGGCCAGGAACTAAAATCCAGCCTCGGCAATATAGTCAGATACCACCTCAAAAAAAAAAAAAAAAAAAAGAGGGTAATGCCTGTGGCTCAAAAGAGTAGGGCGCCGGCTCCATATGCTGGAGGTGGTGGGTTCAAACCCAGAACGGGCCAAAAAAAAAAAAGAAAAGAAAAAGAAAAAAAGATTATTAAAAAATGCTAACAATCATCTGAGCCTTTAGCAAGTTGTAGCCTTGTTGCTGGTGGAGGGTCTTGACTTGAGGTGGACAGCTGCTGACTGACCAGGGTGGTGGGAGCTGAAAATTGGAGTAGCTGTGGCAATTTTTTACAGTAAAACAACAATGAAGTCAGCTGTATAAATTAACACTATCTTCCAGGAAAGATTTCCTAGTAGTCTACAATGCTGTGTGATAGCATTTTACCCACAGTAGAACTTCTTTCTTTATTTGAGTTAATCCTCTTATCCCTACCACTGCTTTACCCATTGACTTTATGTTACTTTGTAAATTTCTTTTTGTCATTTTAACAATGTTCACAGCACCTTGATCAGGAGTAGATTCCACCTCTAGAAACCACTTTCTTTTCTCTTCCATAGACAGAAACTCCTCATTTGTTAAAGTTTTATCAAGAAATTGTAGGAATTCATTCACATTCTAGGAGTCCACTTTTGATTCCAGTTCTCTTGATGCATGCATTTTCCCCACATCTAAAGTTTTTAGCCCACAGTATTCACCCATGAATGTTAGAATCAACCATTTCCAAACTCTAGATAATGGTGATATTTTGGTCTCTTCCCATAAGTCACTAATGTTCTTGATGGCATCTATTAGTGAGTCTTTTCCAGAAGGTTTTTAATTTACTTTATCTGTGTCCAACAGAGGAATCATTATCTATGGAAGCTATATCCTTATAAAATGTTTTTCTTAAATACTACAACTTGAAAGGCAAAATTACTCCTTGATCCAGAAACTATGGAATAGCTGTTGTGTAAGCAGAAATGAAACAATATTAGTCTCTTTACTAATGAAAACAATATTAGTCTCTTTACACATTCCATCAGAGCTCTTAGATGACTGGTTGTATAGTCAAAGAGCAGTGGTATTTTCAAAGGGATTTTATTTTCTGAGCAGTAGTCTCAACAATGGGATAAAGATATTCAGTAAATCATGCTGCATCAGACGTGCTGTCATCCAGGCTCATGGAGCACCCAAGCAAAGTAGAGTTAGCAAAGTTCTTAAGGGCTCTAGTATTTTTAGAGTAAATGAGCACAACATTAGACCATACCAAGAGTTAGCCTGTCCCTTGAGGCCTGGAAGCCAGGCATTGACTGCTCCTTAGCCATAAAAGTCCTAGATGGCATCTTCGGCCAATAAAAGACTATTTCATTGATACAGAAAATCCGTTTACTGTAGCCACTTTCATCAGTGATCCTTGCTTGATCTCCCAGATAACTTGCCACAAGTTTTCCATCATTTTCTGCTTCATCTTGAACTTCTTTTTTATGAAAACCATTTTCCTTAAACTTTATGAACCAACCCCTTCTAGGTTTCAAAATTTCTTCTGACGTTTCCTCACTTTGCTGAAATTTTATAGAATTGAACAGATTTAGGGATTTGCTTTAGAATATGTTTTGGCTTAAGGGAGTGTTGTGGCTGGTTTGATTTTCTTTCCAGACCTCTAAAAATTTCTCCAAATCATCAATAATCCTTTCATTTACTTATCATTTATGTATTCACCAGTAGTTTTAATATTTTTTCAATAATTCTTTCTTTAATATTTGACTGACTTTCTTGTAATATCTGAACGTTGGACATGCCTCCCATACTATGCTTAATCACTTCTGACTTTTGATTTAAAGTGAGAGATGTGTGACCTTTCCTTTATCATGAATGCTTAGAGTCCATTGTAATATTAATAATTGACCTAATTCAATATCGTTGTTTCTCAGTTAATTAAGAGGCAAAGAGAGGGATAAGGAAAAGGCCAGATATGGAGCAATCAGAACACCCACATTCATTGATGAAATTTGACATCTTGTATGGGAAAAGTTCAGGGCACTCTAATACAATTAAAATAGTAACATCAAAGGTCACTGATCACAGATCACCATAATAGATTTAATAGTTATGCAAAGTTTGAAATCTTGAGAAAGTTATGAAAAAGAGACACAGAGACATGAAATGAGTGCATGCTGTTGAAAAAATGGCACAAACTGTCTTGTTCAACACAGGCACACAACACAGCTACCACGAATGTTCACATCTGAGAAATGCAATGAAATGCATTTCCATATGAAGAAACATTTGTATGAGTAGGTATTCCCAGTACCTTCTGAAAAGATATCATCAATATTAATTTTTAAAAACATTTTAAACATTTAAGGATTTATTACTTAATCCTCTATACTATATAATTGAATACTATTTTATATTTAGATAAAGTAATTGTGCAGAGTTTAAGCATAAAACTAATGTTAGACTTGGTTCCATATCACTTTCCTAAAAGGTATCACGTATACTCAGGGAGCATGATTTGAACATATTATGTCTGGAGTCATGTGTATGTGTATTAATTTATGCTGTGTTGCATAGTTTCTGTTTAATCATTAAATGTGACAAAGGAATTACTTATCTGAGTTGTAAAGCTTTTATTTGTTGACAAGTTAAACTCCCAGGAGCAATCAAAATGAAATTGAGCTTCGGTTAGGTGCGGTGGCTTGTACCTATAACCCTAGCACTTTGGGAGGCTAAGGCAGGAGGGGGAGAAAGTTGAAGTCAGGAGTTTAAGATCAGCCTGAGCTACAAAGAGAGCCCCATGTCTACAAAACATTAAATATCAGGCAGGCATGACACATACACCTGTAGTCCCAGCTACTTAAGAGGCTGAGGCAGGAGGATCACTTGAGCCTAGAAGTTTGAGGTTCAAGTGAGCTATGATGATGACATTGCACCCCAGCTTGGACAACAGAATGAGACCCTACCTAAAAAAAAAAAAAAAAGAGTTGAGTCTATTTAAGACTCTTCCAAGATAAATGGCTGCATTTAAATTATTCATCATAAAGATCTGTGCAGTAGTCACAGTTTTCTTGTGGCTGTCCTGTCTCTTTCCTGTATCAATTCAATAAATGCATTCTTCTCTGTTGAATATACAAATAACTTTTGCATGTGTGTGTAGAATAAGAAATTTTGTGTTAAATCTCCTTCTCATGAGTAAAATTATTTTAGGGTTTAAATAGCTTTGTTTATTAAAATCTGCATATTTAATACATGTTAATATTTGATCACTTATGAGTACTTACATAAGACCTGTTAAATCATCTACATTTTGATTCTATGATCTTTTCCAAAATGGAAAGCTGACTACAAAGTTCACGACATGGCTTTTTTTGTGCTCCTTCAGAATTAGTGTCTTCAGCAGACCTCAAAATTGCACTCTTAGTTAATCTCCTCCCATTGCCGCAATCTCATTTTTTCTCTCTTTTGGGATACAATTGAAATTAAAAGGCTCGGCGCCTATAGCTCAACCGGCTAAGGCGTCAGCCACGTACACCTAAGGTGGCGGGTTCGAATCCCCAGCCCGGACCTGCCAAACAACAATGACGGCTGCAACCAAAAAAAAAAAAAAATAGCCGGGCATTGTGGCGGGCGCCTGTGGTCCCAGCTACTTGGGAGGCGGAGGCAGGAGACTCGCTTGAGCCCAGGAGTTGGAGGATGCTGTGAGCTGTAATGCCACAGCACTCTACCCAGGGGGACAGCTTGAGGCTCTGTCTCAAAAAAAAAAAAAAAAAAAAAAGAAATTAAAAGCAACTCTAGGTGGAAGCATATTATCTCTTAATAATAGTTACTGGTATTGAAAATTACTTTCATTACTATCATCAAATCTCTTTTCTAAATTGATACTACAGAATTTCTGGACATTAGAATTACTAGGTTTATCCCAGTGGTCACCAATAGAATCCCCAAAGGTTAACTTAATTATGGATTTCAAATGTGTAAGAATTGAGGTCAGTTATTTTCCACCTAAAATGAAAGAGAATGACAGGAATTGAGTAGAAATGGAGGCAAAAGACTGTTATTAAATATCAAGAAAAAGTATCTGTCAGCAGGGATTGTTGCACAAGGGTAATATTTTCTTGCAGAATACATTCCTAAAAAGGTTTTGCTTTTAATAATTTCTCATCCTTCATTAGTATTTTATGTTAAATAAACTCAAGAAAGGGAGAAAACAGTACATATTTTGAGCCTTTCTTAAACTTTAAAATCAGCCTGGTCTGGTGCAAAACCAGAGAAAACAGAGTTAACAACGTTTTTGGTACAAGCTTCAATTTTTCAATTTATATCAGCATCAATTTCACATTATATATTATTTTCAGAGTGTATGCTACTTTCTGAGGTTTACACATAGGACGATCTAGTGGATACATCAAAATGGAGGCTTTTGACCACTTAATCAATTAATAAATACAATATGATTCATCTCGTCTTCTGGCTAGTAATTGTTTATAGCTACATCTTAAAAGGATTTGTGCCATTTAGTAATTCTACTTGATGAAATAATATAGTATAACAAGGAGTCGTGGGGTAAATAGTTGAACATGTTCGCAAGTAGTAAGCATATTATACTTTATTTTCAAACTTCTGTGATGCTTTAGAATTGTAACTCTTATGGTTTTGATTATTTTAGATTGCACCAACATCTGACAATGACTTTGGACGATATAATTGCACAGCCACTAACCGTATAGGAACAAGATTTCAGGAGTATATTCTTGCTTTGGCTGGTAAGTGCGGCACAGTAATTTTTGAGAACTCCTAAAATTTTCTATAAGCAAATGAAATTTTAAATAATAAAATTCTATCATATAATTGTAAATGTTAACAAAGGGTAGCTTTTATATTTTTATGAGTCCTGAAATAGGCTATTATTTGAAAGAGTGGGTCAGTGATTAAAAAGTTGGAACAGTTGTGTTTGACATCGCAAGAAACTTAGATGTATTTCCTGATCAAGACTGATTTTTAACTCTGATTCCTTTGTTTAAAAATGTTTCACTTTACTTCCATAGAAACATAATTCTCCCCTAAAGCTTGAAGATTGGGAGATGTAAATATAATGATAGTTAAAGCAAAAAGATCATATTAACTAGAAATCCAGCTATACATCAGTATATGTGTGTATACACACACGTGTGTAGATAGACAGATATATAGATAGTTAGATAGAATTTTTCAATATCTTTTACAAGCCTTATTAGGATCCAAAAACACATGCTTAGAAATAGATTGTATAGCTCAATGGAAAAAATATGTGACTTACAGTCTTTTAGGACTACATAAGGAAATGAAAGAAAATTACTGTTATGCTATATTTTAATAGACTGAGCAGATTCTTAGAGAAATTTTAAAACATTTCATAGAGATCTTCCATGTAAGTGTAATTTTATATTAATGGATTAATGATTTTCATTATTATGTTATATACATATGTTCTCAAAATTAATGTATCAGTTGTAAAGCCTTTACAGGAATAAAGTTTATTAAACTCATGATACTCAAATTTTCATATAACTTGGAGAACCTGTAATCCTTCATTTCAGGTTGTACCATTTTAAGGAAGAAAAGAGAGAAGGAATTGTGTAGTAGGAATTGAGGGTAGAGGACAGAGAGAAAAATTCTAGATGAGAGGAAGCTAAGAAGGGAGAGAAAAGCAAGAGAAAGTCATGAAAGAAAGAGGGAAATTGATAGCTGTTCTCCACCTTGAAGTCATTAGAAAATCATTTTTCATGAAATCATGTAAGTAGGCTCTTCACATGTAGAAATGTGAAGAAACCATTTTTATAAGCAAATTAATGTCTAGGAAAATGAAAGGTACTAAGATATGTCAAAATTCATTAGTACTAAGTTAAAGCATGGACTGTAATGATAAGAAGCATCCAATACTCAAACTAATTCTAGGCCTTAGGAAATTAGGTAACTTTCCTAGTACTTAGTATGATTTTTTAAATACATAGGTATTTATATATGATCAATATATGTGTGTATAATTATATTAACATTGACACACTATTATACACTGTTGTTTTTGTAAGCAATATAATTTTCTACTAGGTACAACTTGATAAATGACCAGAATTTATTTAGCATTTAAGCGTTTTTAGTCTGGGAAAAATATATGCAAAAGAGGATATTATATTAAGGAGAGGTAAACAATCTCATAAAGTTGACAGGGAATATTTAATGTTGTATTTCTTCATATATCATAGTACGTAAGTAATTCTTCTCATTGGAGCAAATATTTGATGACTACCCTTCTAAACATTAAATTGGTGTGCTCCCTTCTGCCCAACCATAATAAAAATTAAAATTTTTATTTGTTTTAAATAAGAGAATGTTTTGGAAAATATTTTGAATACTTTAGTTTCAAGTATTCAAAATATTCAAGTATTGTTTTATACAATTCTAGGCTACAGATTTGTTTCTAAAAAAGCTGAACTTGATTCAACATAAAATGAAGATATGAGAATGAATTACACACTAATCCTTAGATAGCAAACATATACTAAAACATCATTGTTTATAAATATGATTTCCTTAATAATACCTTTTAATTTAATACTAATATTTCATAGAAAATTTAATTTTTCCTGCAGAATTCAAACACCACATGTGTGATTTTAAGTGAAATGTAAAATACTCATATGAAAGTATAAATATTTCCAAATATTTGTAAATGCTATGGTTTAATATTTCATTTGCCTGTTGGACCTGAATGCACGATCTCTTACCATGTGGTGTTTTATACTCTAACAGATTATCTTAATTCTAAAGGGCAAACAATTAAAGCCAAAACTTAGCATGAAATTTTGTTACATATTTAGCGAAGAGACATAAACAGATTTACTTTTTTAGCATTCTTTATTTCAAAAATATTTGTTCTTCATTTTAGCATTCTTTATATCGAAATTGTTCTGTTCTTTATTTTTCCCCCCTTTCCTACCTTCTTACTCCATTTTCTCTTTTCAATAATTTAGTTCTACGTTGGACAAATGTACACGTCTGTGGGGGTGGGTAGAGCACAGTAGCGTCCTGGCTTTGGGTGTCAAAGCTGGGCAGAGTGAATGGAGTCGGGGGAACTTCAGGGATCCCATGTAGGGTGTCGGGAACCAAGCGCGGTTAAAAGGTGCCCATGTGCCTGGAAAGGACCAGCAGCCCAGATAGGAGTAGTAAAGCCTGGTCAGGGTAGACAAGGGTTCATGTAAGCCGGGTTGATGTGGGAGAAAGGTCAGAGTGATGGAGTATTAGTTTTTCTAAGGATATTGACAAAATTAGTATGTGCAGGCAGTATAATAAGAGTTAGTTGTCACACTTTTGAAGAAGAATTAGGGTTACGCGAAGATCAACAAATAAAATGATCCAGGACTAATGATCTGGAGGGATCTATATGAACTCTGATTTTAAAGTACATAGGTGGATAGAAAAAGGAGAAAAGACAGATGTAAAGGGGTATGTGAGTGTGTGTGTTTGTGTGTGTACATGTACGGCTATGATCAGCCATTTCTACAAGAAGCTTTTTGGGGAAAGTTATTTAGAAAACAAGTTCTGAACTAGCTCTATCATTGAGAGGATTTGGGATTTGCAACACTCCATTAGCAATGAGTACACCTAGAAGCTCCATCGTGGTTTCTAAATATCATTCTTGACTGAATGTAACTAGGGATCCTTGACATATGGCCCATAGCAGAACTGGGTAAAGAAAGTATCAGAAAACAACAACTTGTGGCGTTAGAAAATAATGCAGTTGCTGGGTGCAGTGGCTCACATGGCAAACCCAGCACTGTGGGAGGCTGAGGCAGGAGAATTGCTTGAGTTTAGGAGTTCAAGATTTGTCTAAGCAAGAGAGAGACCCCAACTCACTAAAAAATGGAAAACCCAGCCAGGCGCCACCATGAGCACTTGCAATCCTGGTGTCTCCCGGAGGCTGAGCAGTGGGATGCCCACAGCCCGAGTCTGAGGCTGCAATGAGCTACAATGCCATTGCCCTCTGCTCAATGCATTGGGTGGGACTCTGTCTCAACAACAACAACAACAAAGAAAGTAATGAAGTTAAAAAAATATAAAGCATAAGGTCATGTCAAAATTCATAAGCCACTTTTAACAAACAACAAAGTATACATCAATTCAGCCAGCCAAGGAGCATCAATGGTTTCTAAAGCAGGAATGTGAAAGTTATATGAAGAAATAATAAATAGATAGGCTTAATATATCTACTCTCATATTACTAATTAGTTAAAAAAGGAAAGTAGTAACTTTACAGATGGTATGTTAATCTAGTAATCAAAGTTAACACCGCCAGTAATAAGAAAATTAAACATGGATACTATCAGAGTCAATTAGAAGAACAGAGAATGACTACTGGAATGCTACTGCCAAAAATGAATAATCAGAATCTAGTATGGGAAAATATACAAAGACTGCAAATTCAGGAGTCATCTACAAAATAACTTCAAAGTGTCAGACTAAAGGACTGTAGAAACGTGACAAATATATTCTATGCATGGTTCTGAACTGCGTTCTTTTGCTTAAAAGACATTATTGAAATGATAGGTAAACTTTGATACTGGTGTATAAGTCAGATGAAAATGTAATTATTTTATATAGTTTAAATAAGACCATGTTTTGTTCGTGGTAAAAAAAAAAAAAAACACACTCAATTTGGCACCCTATTAACTTAAACGGTTCGGATATAAAACACCTTGATGTACTGTTATTGCACATTTTCTATAAAGATAATATCATTTCAAAAGAATAAAAATGAAGTAAACTAAAGTCAATAAGCAAAAATGCCTAAGATAGAGCAACTTTAGAAAAGTGAAATGACTTGTGAAAATAAGTAGCATTCTTGATAAAGAATCATCCACTTCTTTCCATGTGTGCATTTACGACATGATGTGTAACCCTATAGGTGGGTCTACAATAACACAGTGCATATTCCGTAATAATTTACTCATAGAACACTTTGATCTATCTCTTTTGCCCATAGAAAACTGAAAAAAGAAGAATATTTTTATAATTTTATGGAAAATATGAGATATTTCACATATATTCTTGATTGATAAAAATATAAACTGGAGATATGAGAGAGGTGTATATATATATATATTTAATGACATCACTATATAATTATTTTTTAATGCACCTCCTGGGTGATAATTCTGCTTTCTAGTTGGGAAGCATCCTCTCTCTTGGGGTTTATATACACATCCTGAAAAAATTAGATTTGTAAGGCACATAATGCTAAGCAAAATTGTGACTGTACAGTGTTATTTCTTTCTTAGAGTTTTTCACACCTACAAGATCATGAGTTCACAAGGCATTCCATGTATTTGTATAATGCGTGTTTTACATTTCTTTTCCTAAAAGACCTTCACTCTAACTTTTGAACTTTATCATCAACTAATTTCATTCATTTTTTATTTTACTAATTCATTTCATTATTGTTAGATTTAAGCTTTTACATTAAACCTCATTTTTTAATGCAGTTATCCCACCTTTGCTTCATTTATTTATGTACTTACCAAAGTTGCCTGGTCCTGAGCAATTTTAGAGCTGTCCTCAGGGAGCACATCCAACCCCTGAAACATGGGAGACCCAGCCCTTTGGGGTTGTCTGGGCAATGCCCCTTAACAGGTGTCCTCTAACTACGGCCCACGGGCCACATGCGGCCCACCGAGGATATTTATCCGGCCCGCCGGGTGTTTTTGCTGCCTCTGCCTGTCCTGCTTAG